CCCCAAAACCCCAAAACCCCAAAACCCCAAAACCCCGAGACTAATCTCCATCATTGAAGTCTATTTTAGGTTAAGAATTTCACGAATGAGAGGCTCCTTTACTTCAGTGTTTAGTTTTCTTTGGCTTAAGCTAGGGGGTTTAAGGTGGAAATAGGACCTGACTCTTTCTTTAGATATGCTTTTGGCTATAGGGGAGGTTAGAGAGGGGAATAAGATGGAGGTGGAGTAAGTTATTTACATTTTGGAAGGAATAACTTCTTGAGGTCGCTAATACCTCCTTCGTCAAGTAAATCATAGAACATTTCTTTCAGTTTTGATCCATCTGGTTCATCAAGACTTTCATCTCAGATAACTCTAGTGATATCTTGAAAGACAGTAGATTCTTCCTGAGCTTTGAAAGTGATCATTCTGTGATCAGATATTTGCTTCTTTATACTTTCAGCTTTATTTATCGATTTCGCTGTTGATTACAGCTTTAAGATTGCTCACATATCTTTCTAATATTCCTTCTCAATTCTCAACTGCCCTAAAGTGCTCTTCAGTAGCTTCTTCGAGATATTTGGATCAGTTTTTTAGGTTCATGCAAAGCTCTTGGGCTCCAATGATGCTATCTTGAAGGTCTGGTCTTTCATCTGCATCATAAATTTCATGACCTAAATGAGTACCTTCCGTCATACAAGTAACTCAGACAAATTTTAAGCAAGTTTCTCAAATATGATTGCCATTGCGCTCATGATAAGGGCAATAACGAAACATTTCTTGGTCTGGCTTAGACTGAATGATTTTCCTATCTTCTTTGATTTTGTTCACAGCAAAGTTCTGAACAAGAGCACCCTTCGTAATTCCTTTCCTTCACTGAGGACATTTTCTAGTCCTCACCAATATCACATCCCATCAAATCTTACAGGCATTAAACCCTCACTCCTTACATAACTGAAAGTCTTCATACTCCGAAGTAAAGCATACCGGGCACGTCAATGCTTCCAATGCTTGCTCTCTTTCCTATACCCATAAATCACATTCCCAAAATCCTTCAAAACCGAAAGCTAACCTTACCACTTTAAGTTCTTCCTTCTTATCCTTCTTTCCTGCACCTCTTAAGGCACTAGCACCAGATCCCTTCTGGCTTCGACCAGAAGGGATCCTGTGAGCACGGCCCTCTTGTGCTGGAGGAAGATCTTTGAAGGGGACTTTCGAACTGTTCATTTTTTTAGGTTTAGTGATTATGAAATCAGCTGAGAGCTTATGTGGGGTTTTGGGGTTTTGGGGTTTTGGGGTTTTGGGGTTTTGGGGTTTTGGGG